AAAAGCTCGATGAATAATTCTCCAAATCTTCTGATAGCCGTGGAAAACAGGGTAATAAGAAAAGAGGAAGACAATAATGTAAGGAATAATCACCCAAGAAACCCCACGAACCTAACCTTAGAGGACGTAAACACACACTAACGCACCCTGACACTGACCAAGATGAACAGTACGAAAAAAAGCAAAAGCTCGATGAATAATCCTCCAAATCTTCTGATAGCCGTGGAAAACAGGGTAATAAGAAAAGAGGAAGACAATAATGTAAGGAATAAAAGGAGTATTTCGAGGGACTCCCAGTCATCAATGACAAGGATTTAAAGATTCACGAGCGTTTGGCGAAAGGATCCTTTGGTGAAGTTTTTAAGGGCACCTTACGCATCGGAAAAGATGAGACAGTCCCTGTAGCGGTCAAAATGGGATTAAAACGAAAGGCAGCTGTGGTAGAAGCCCAGATATTGCATGAGGTGGGGGGGGTCGCTGGAATACCCCATCTCTTTGGTATTATTAATTGCTATAGTACCCATACAAAAACTCTCTCTATTGTTATGGAATACTGTCATGGCTAAACTCTTATGAAGTTGAGGAAAAATGGAGACATAAAAACTTATCTGTTAGTATTTTTGAAGATAGCCCTGGCTATAGGAGACCTACACAACGCAGGTTATTCACACGGGGACATACACAGTGAAAATATAATTATTGGGAATGGCACTACTGGCCCATAGGTTCACTTGATTGACTTAGGATTTGCTAAACGGCTCAAGGAAAATGATTAACTTTTACAATCTGAAGATTATTCAAAACTGCGTTACTTGTTTAAGAGGAAACCTCGGGCATCCTGTACAAGTCCAGAAGAAAAGGAATTCTTCCGTATGGCCGAAAGGAAATTCTCGGTTAACAAGCCTGTACCCTGGGACCTCATTGTTTGTGCCATACATGCCCTTCAAGTGTGAATATACCCCACCTGCCATGTGACCCACTGAACTAACCAACTAGCACTTGGTATCCAAGGGCTGAGGACGTTGTACAGTTCTTCGGCAAGATGGAGAAGATCGATGGAGGGTATACAGTATCTAAACAATCAACCTTTGCGACGTGAAGAGGAACTGAGACCCTTTGGACCCTCTTAACATACCATAAGTGATGAAAATTTTTTGAGGTTCTACATGTTTCATCAATGTGAAATTTTCTAGCTGGTGAGAAATTAGACACTTTTTTCAGGTAGAAAACGAAGAGGTCATATAGGCTGTACTGACTCATGACCATTTGTTATTATTATTTGTACTTCTCATAATATAAATTATAAAATATGCTACTAGTTTCTTGAATCGTTAAGCAGTGTTTATGAAGTTTTTTATTGCAAATTGTACATATATTTTCTATTTTAAATATACTGTTGTAATCTTTGTGTGAACTATACAGTAATAGTTTTGTTTAGTTTGTGTAAACTAGGCATGAAGTTAAAATAAAGTCCTTGAGCTGGTACTGTACCAGAGGGCCAGTCTGAGGCATGGGCCATGTGACTGAAGCTTAGGTTGTGGGTTGTGGCAGGGGTGTTGCTAGCCACGGAAAACATTCAGGGTTTTAGCCCAGTGCTTCTCCATTTCCCTTACTTCCTACTAACTCCTGCTAGCTCATCATGACTCAATCTTTATGTTAACTCTAATAACAGCTTCATGTGCAACATTACACATACGTGAATGTATTTTCACAATTTATGCAGAATGACTTTATACAGCATGTATGGAAACTATTGCAAAGCTCAAAACGAGAAATGAACAAATTAGGGAATAGTTAGGTTTATACATAATTGCTCATCAATTGCAAAAATACTCCATGGCAGGACACTTAGAACATGCTCACATCCCACTAAAATGTCAAATAGGGTTGTGAATCTGGTTAAGAATTCCTTAGAGGCTAGATGTAGATGGGAGCAATAATTCATAATGCCTGTCCTTGAATTGTGCAAATGTGTTTATGATTTCATTGTGCCTGACATTCTCTCGCATTTCCTTTTTAATAGATAAGACAGCCAAGTGATACAGTCTCCTTTGCCCCATTGTTTGTCGTAGCCAGGTGTGCAGACACCTCAGTGCACTGAAAGTTCACTCACAACTGCAGCTGCTGACTGGCACTGTCAGGGCAACTTGTATTATTGCTTTAAGTGAAGGAAACATATCAGGATCTAATAATCTGTTTACACTTATCATGTCCTGAATGCCATTACCAGCCCCTTTTCTGCGGGCTAAACTTAGCTACTGTTGGTTCTTCAGATTTTAACTCCAAGGTGATCAGCCACCTCTGTTCCTTCTTTAACCCCTGATCCTGGTTGCAAGCCTGTCAGACTATAGTGATATATGTCTTATCAGCAAATACGAAGGGCTCGCATTTTCTATAAGACAGTCGTTATGAAAATAAACACAACAGCTGAAAAGTTCCCTTACAAACAGAAAAAGATTGAAGGGATGGCATTTCTTGTTATTCATAATTGTTTATAAACTTTGCTCTCCCCATATTCAAATATATCTCTACTGTAGAAGAAACACAAATAAAGAACGTAATATTACTTACATTAAATGGAATCTGATGAAATCACAGCAGCACAATAACATACAAGCCTCGTGAACTTCCTGAAGTATAACTGATGGACCGGTGGCCAGCATTCAGCGGGTTCAGTAAGAGGGTTGCCAGGTGATGCCATATTTACAGCTACCGGAGAGGAAAGGGGAAAACGTGTTTTCCAACTTTGTTCAGTATTTAGATAAGACACAATCTATATTTTGATATCAGGATAGGTGGGGAATTATGATTCTGTCATACGTTGAGGAAAAGAAAATAGACGGGGCTTAAGCCTGAGTCTAACAACGCCACTGGTTGTGGGATTTAGACATGTGACGTGACTGAGGTATGGGAGGTGTGACTGGGGCATAGGTGGCATGACAGACATATAGAGACAAGTCAGTCAATAGATTTTAGAGCAACATTCAGTCACACAGAAATTAAAGGAGGTTTAATTCCTTAACTAACAATAAAACATATACAGTAAAAGGTCTAGTTTAAGATAAATGGGAAAGATATGTAAAGTACTGGAACAGTTCAACACAACCTCACTCTCACTAGATCATGTTAATTCTAAAGTCTTCAAAAACACAAAAGGAAACTGAATATAATTTCTTCATAAAAAATTCAAATCACGTTGGAATGGCAGAGGAAAAACCTGCAATGGCTTTCTAAGTTCAGTTAAAATTAAAAGACAAATTTATCCAAATTACACATGAATAGAAAGTGAGAAAAGGGTAAATATTCTGATATATAATTAAAAGGAGACAAACTGTCATTCTCACAAAGCTGCAGCTTAACACATATTTAGTCCCACCTCAGACTGGCTCACTTGTGATAAAACAAAATTATCAGGAAAAAGCTCAAAATATTTCCTTACACTAGACAATTGGTTCAACATGCATACAGACAATGCAGGTACAGTATACAGTTCAGCATATAGATAATGCATGTACAGTAGCTAAAACAACTATCTGTGCAGGTAGGGGTCGATATGCTCCGAAAATTTACATGTGACAGCCCTCGTATACCAATATTTATCGTCCATGGTCTCATTGTTTCCCACAAAGTATGCACAGATGGTTGTTTTAGCTACTGTACAGTACTGTATACAGATCAGGATATATAGACAATGCAGGTATACAGTTCAGCATAGATAATGCAGGTATACAGCTCAACATATAGACAACGGAGGTACAGTACGGTATTGTATAAAGATCAGCTTATACAGTATAGACAATGCAGATTTACAGTTCAGCATAGTCTATATGCTGAACTGTATTCTGTACTTCCTCAAAGCCTTAGAGGAACACTAAACTAACTTATCAATAAATAAATACGTACTGAATTCTATCCTATACAGTATTCTCTCAATTTAACAAACTACTGTAATTTGAACCACCCCTTTCTGTTATTTTCACTCGATTTAGCGAACCAGTTCACTAAATCGAGCGTAATTCTGTTAAATTCTGTGCCAAATGCACAGCCTACTGCAAGGGGTTTGCTTACATCTGCTCAGTCTGTGTCCTGCCACCACCGCGTGTGTTGTTCAATGCTACCTCTCAGTCAACTCACTACTGTGCTTAGACATCATGCCAAAAGTTTCTCAGAAGTCTCACAAAGGAAGTGGTGTGGTGGAGAAAGTCAAAAGAGTGCATCTATCAATTGGAAAAAAGTTTGGAAATTATAGAAAAAATTTAAAACAAACACTGAACCTCCTAGTTTAAGGTAAACCATGATTAGTGTTTCTAATGGTTCTTACATTTCATGTGTCTGAGGTGTCTCCATAGGTGTGAGCATATTAACAGAATTAATCTTGATTTAGCGAACAAGTTCACTAAATCAAGCGAAGATTAACAGAAAAAATTCCTTCGGCTAAATTGAGAGTACAGCATACTGTACAGTATATTTTAATACTGTACCCTACTTATAACACACTAGCCAAGGTCTAGAGAATGCATGTATAGTACTGTACCTTGACAGTCCATCCCTTGTAATGCTCTTCAAAAGATGTGCAACTACTGTATTGTCATTTGTCTGGTCCCCGAGATATGTTAGAGACTGCCAGTTGACTGAAAACTTCCAAAGGAGGTCCACCAGACTGGTGCCTGTACTTCGGCACCTCAGTTATTCTGAGAGGTCAGGATGCCTGAAATTGCCAGTTCTAGATATGGACACTCAACTGAGTAATGTCATCTGAGGTGTTTATAGACTTCTATTAAGTCACCTCTTACCTGCCTACAGTATAAGCTAGGCAGTTGCAGGTTACCTTTGGAGCAGTTTGCCACCTCAAGCTGTGGAATTGAGAACAGAACAGTACTGGGCTTCAATTCAGCCCTAAACAGAACTATCAAGAACAAAGACTGGAAAATATACAGGCCACTGGCCTCTAGTGAGTCGCCATTAAGTAAATAAGGTAGGGAGGTAAATATAAAATTGGCTGACTTAACAGTTCATATTTAGACAGAGAGCCGCTTTGTAACAGTTCTACAATTAAATCATGAATACAGTATTCTCATTTCTGACAATTAAAATATGAGCAATACCTTTATACATAGTATATCCGGTACATATGGTTCAATGATGTGGTATATTAATCTCCTATCTGCCAATATAAAGTTATATAGTCTTCAATCTTCCAGCTTTATATGACCACTCCATATAAGTAATAAAAGACATTTGGGAGAAGAGAGATCCAGAATGTAACAAACAAAAGACAATTGCTACCTATTAGCTTTCGAGAGGATCAATTCCACTATATTTGTGATACTTGATCCTTTAAACAATAATACACTTGGGATTAAACAGGTTGCATTTATGAGTATTTAAACCATTCAATATTTACAAACATAAAACACAATATAAAGAAAACATTATATCCAATGTGGGCTAAATTCCTTTACTTTTACAGGTGTAACAATATGAAGATTAATTAGCTGGATACCATTTATTAACAATTAATATACAAATACTGATACAATATGTTTCTCCCACTCAGTAATCACAGAGTTTAATAATAGTACAATACAGTCTAAAAAAAATATGGTAGTAAAAACTTAAAGACAACACCAAACACTTCTCGAATGACAAAATATAAAACTATAATAAACTTCTTGTCCTAAAACACTAATTCAAATAAATGTTGGTAATGAACAGACAAAAATACCTAGTACCATGGGCCTCAAGAAATGACAAAAAAATATTAATGAAAAAAAAAAAATAATAATAATCATAATAAAAAAAATAATTCACATATCACCTGGCTGTACAGTACAGTTCAACATTTTCTTGTCAACATATTGTGCTGAAAAATGTAGGAAATGCATTCACAAACAACACAGTAAGTCTATCTGTTCAATTGAATTTTTAAGAAACAACTTTAATACCTGTGATATAATGTAATCACACACACACAAAATTATCACTTAGCACTTATCCTCTCCACCACATACTAGCCAGTCAGAGGGTCAGTCTGCTCTGCACTGTTAGCACATACAGTACTGGGTATGTATGACAAAGTGCTCACATAAAGACCAAGTTCAATTAAATGATGACAAACAAAAAACTGTGAAGGAACTTAAAACCATCCCAGCAAACTGGTGGCCAGGCGGACAGTACAGTACAGCATAGCAAACAGCCCAAAGTAACTGAAGACTCCTTTTGATCGATTCTTAGGTTCTGTAAATAATACAAACATGTCAAGGATAATATCCACTCATATTCATTTACCAACCCAAACAAGTATGGAAAATGGCTGCAAAACATTGATGATTAGGATCTACATCAATTTTAATAATGCTCCTTACAATCAATAGTAATATTTTCACATCAGGGAAGAGAACAGTGCAGTATACTTTCAAGACAACATACCTCCAGTGTAGTATCCCAGGGCATAGACAATACGTCCAGTACACCACACAGCTCCTCCTACAGCACTCACTATGGGGTTGTATAGACCACCCAACAGCAGTAAAGTCAGGAATTGTGGATAGTTCTCAAGTCTGTAAAAAATAAACTCATATAAATGATATTCCCCTGCCACAACTGTATCCTTATCTAGGAAATTTACAAGAGGCTCAAATCTTCCTTAATTACTCATTTCAACAATGAGAACTTTGTCTTTACTGTTCTTGTATTATTTCCAACATCCTCCTACAACAGACTAGATCTATACAATACAGTACTGTAGTCTTTTTTTATTAGCTGACAGTACAGTACTAGGCCCCTCCTCCTTCTCTGAAAGCGTGAATTTGTTTGGGACTTCAGCGGTAAATATTTTTTATTTCAAACTTTTTTTTCCACTCAACCTTGAAAGTTACTGTTATATATGAATTTATTTGTGATATATCAATATTAATCGAACATTGTGCATGAGCCAGTGAGCTGAAAAGGGAGCAGGGCTTGTACCATCAACTAAAAACAAACAACTGTAGGTAGGTAGATAGACAGATAAGTACATACATAATTATTTAGCAAATATAGCTACATCTGCATACACCAGCTATAAAACTTTAACCACTGTATCATTACTGTACTCTCTAGATTCTACCACATTTATATACCTTCATGAAATGTTCCAACCATGACACTTAAGTCAAACCTTGGTGCCACATAAACTTGGTACAGTATATAACCACATTCCTCTCACTCCAGTAACTCCCTAACCTATTTTCATTTGCTAACAAGTCGACCAGTGAAGAGGATAAAGAAAAGTAAACTATCTCTTCTTAAACAATCCACAAAATTATTTCCTTACATCCATTTCAACTACTTTTAACATTTAATATTTCCTCATTTAAGTGTTTTAAGTTTTCTCTCAATGTTGGGTGTAGAGACAAAGGCACCTCCCCCACACACACACATACATTTTACCCTCCATTCACCACCACTTATTTATTCCTACTGCTGAATTAATACTATCACTTTTTCCTAACTCCACAAACCGAGTGAAATAAAGCAAATCGCAACTTCAATGATACTTCCTCGTTTCAAAACTTCATGCAAATTATGTAACTTCAGCCATAATGTGTTAGCACATGACGTTAATTGGATTAGAACTTACGTGTTTTGGTGAGCACGTTGGTAGCAGTTGAAGTGATCATTACTCTTGTGATACATAGTTGGGTAGAGAACATTGAACTGCTTTCTGGCCTTACCAACCTGTAATGATGAATTCAAGCAACTTTATATACAAAGTGAGGAAAGGTAAATGGAAGTGCTAAGAGAGAGGAATATGACAAAACTGTGGTGTAGGGAGGAGGCTTACAAAAGCCATCCTTTTATGAACCTGCACAACATAACATACACTGTACAGAAAAGCCCTCATCAGTGAATTTTGGGTATCCACGGTTTTTACTCTGTATACCACTTCACCAGCCAAGCCATTGAGTGTTCACAGCTTAATGTGCCGTCATTTTCCTTCCATGTTCCAATGTATTCATCTATGCAACGTCCAGCTCTGTGTTGTGATCTTGAACCGTGCAGACTTATTTTATTGCTCCGTACACTGGATATTTATTACATATTTTCTAAAGAAATAACATTGGTTTTGCCTTTAACTATGGCCCCTACGTGTGCATTTAATGTTTAGTGATAAATATGAGAAAAAAGTGAAGACGGTAAGGAATGTAATGATTCTAGAAAATAAGCTGAAGTGCCTGATAGACTAGTGCATGGCGTTAGCATAGCATCAGTGTGACGCACCATGGGGTAAATGAATCCTCGATACGCACGATTAAGAAAGGTGAGGCTACGATAAGGACCAGTGTTGCTGATGGCACATGGAGAAGTGTAAAGAAGAGTGGGCCTGTGTCCCCCTCTTCCTCATAACAGTCACCTCTCCCTCCCCATCACCCTCATCCTCAATGATGGTAAATATCCTTTATACTGTTAAATTTATATTACTGTTTAATTTACATTACACTTTCATATATATTTGCCTCAAATTTAATGAACTGCACAATGCAAGTATTGTTTTGTGAAAGAACAGGTAACTTAAGCTATGACGAGTGTTATCAGCAGCCATGGAACCTAACCCCCTATTTTCCATAAGCCTTTAGTCTTACCAATTGTGGATTTGCCAACCACATGGTTTTCCAGGAGCCTAACCCTTGCAGTTGGTGAGGGACTACTGTAATTCATAATCTAATCTATCATTTCACCACTTACTACACATGTGGTTCATTCTTTATTACAATCTTCAATATCCAACAGACACAGGCTCTCATCTTCAAAGACTGTTCACTCCCTCTCATTATACATACTGTACAAGCAATATTTCTGTATGATATCTCAAACATTTTTTACACTCATATTATTTAGACTTAATAAACAAGGAGTACAGTACAGCAATGAATGTGGCTATAAAATATTGTAGACTGTAGCCATATTCCCATCCACAATCATTCTCCCCAACCTACCAGTACACTGTCTGCATTGTTTTTTTATACTATACTGTATACCATAATCTTATTATTAATGACTAGTAAGTTAAAACACAGTACGGTAATATCAATGTTTTTATAATTCGTCATATCCACTTTACTTTCATAGAATGCTTAATGAACCCCAAACTGTATCTAAGGTTCCAGGTCTGTAAGAAAATTAAAAGCCACATGAATGGATTTTAAGTTACTAAACAGTAGTGAAGAGGGTAAGTAAGTGGGTAAGTTTAACTCTTGTAATGTGGACTATCTGGCCTTAAAACTATACAAGCTGATAACCTTATCAAGTTAATCATCATGTCTTGGCATTCCAGTGTGAAAGGTCCCTAAGATCAATTAATATGTTACGTGGCAACCACACTCAAAATCTTCATACCTAATTTTATAAAATCAATCAGTCACTAGTACAGAAAGCATTATGAAAATTTATTATTCCTCAAAAATCATTTCATATTACTGTACAGTATTGCTAACATTTACATACAGACATCTCAACTTTCTTTTAAGATTCCATCATTCTTACATTGTATGACTTCCACACGAGCATGAAGATGGAGAAGACAGCAACCAGCAAGCAGTAGCCATACTCAGCGGACACCTCAATGGCCACCATCTTGAGAGCTGGAAATAATAACCACACACATATAATACAGTACTGTACTATGCAGGGCAACATTTATCACCAACAACAATGATGCCCTGCTGCAAGAAAACTCAAACACAACATTTTTCATATATTTTTGTGGATCTAAAATTATTTATCACAGGGACAGTATTAAAAGAAAATGTTCCTTCACTTGTCACATGATGATGGCATGGGTATCACTCTGTAGACATTTCATCCCTGCTTGAGGTGCTGTACAAACTAATAAGAAGCTATGGGAGTTAAATCCACCTGAAACTTATTGCTCTACTGTTAGGATGATAACATTACTGTAGAGCACAACTAACTCGAAACTTGCTGATCAGTGTAAAGTACATAATACAGTACTGTGGTACTTTTTACAGTACAGAATATTGCTTTAAAAAGGAAACAACCATAATATCCGTACAACTATGCAAAACTAAATGTGAGTTCATAAGAGACTCCCAAAACAGAATTTTCCTTGCAATTGATATACTGTACTGTAGTGTATCTGCATATTGGAGGGAGAGAGAGAGAAAATCTGTTTGCCCTTATTTCACACACCTATCCTACAGCAACACCTTGGGTAACTAACAGTGACACAGTTGTTGGATCTAAGCAATCAACACTTGCTGAAGACATATGAAAAAAATTTGCCACAGTCTCCCATTAAGATTCATTTACATTTTAGCAACTTTTTCCTTTTCACTAAGTAATGAACTCCAGGAGATACACAAATGACAATGTTCCTAATGTGCAGTGTAAGGAACATTAGACCTATGTTCAAGATAAGCCAACCCAGTACAGTACACCTTAGTACAGTACAGGAAATGAAACCTAGCTTTTTTTTTTCTTTGTAATGTTCGATATGAAGTGATTTCAAGACATATGTAGTACTGTACTGGTAGTATCAAGATCAAGGATACAATGGAGTGATGCTGAATGTAAATGGAGGCAGCAAATGAGTTTTTATATTGGTGATATAGTATTACAGAACAACAAGTTTTTCCGTCCACGCTGGCATGTGCCTTTGAACGTGGGAACAGTAAAACCCACAAATATAAAATTTCTTTTTCTTCAGGAGTGTCTGCCTTTTACTGCAGTACCAGCGTGGCAATCTTGACAATAGACAGCCTGAATTACATTTTGGACACTTTACTGAACCAAAGATAACACCATGAGATCTAAAGATGTCAACAACTGCGGCTTCTCTCTCAATACTCGTTGACTTACTCGTCTCTCAGTGAGCAACCTTCACATGACATCGACTCGACACTTGTATTATCTTAAGTGAAATAAAGTGAAAATAATGCAAAAACTATAAATTTCAGCCAGATACCCTAGATTAAATTATTCTTCCTCTTTTTTTCTTTATCTTCCTAGATAAGCACCAATATAAAGTTCCGTGAATGGTCACTACGGAATACAGGGTACTGCATTAATTTTTAAAACATCTTACTGTACCTTAAAACAAGTTGTAATGCATTGAAACTTCCTGAAAATGAAGTGTGACTAAGGATTATGGATACCAGTGTTCATCATGATACATACCTTGGTAGTCAAAAATGTGGAATCAAGAGAGCACTGTGTGAGTGTTAACACGGTGAGCTTCTGACTGATGAGGCAGAGAGCTGGAGAGCCTGTGGAGGGTCACAGGCAAGGCCTCTTATCTCTCCTCGGCACCAAAGCCACACGCACCACACACTCTGTTTCCACTACTCTACTAATACTCTTACAGCCAAAATATACAGTACAAACTACACCATAAACACAAACTTTTTCTGTCAGTACTGTGGTACTGTAGATAAGACAAGCCGTACGTCAAAGGGTAAGTCGTGTTTAATATCAGGGAAATAAAGGAAACATGAGAACTCCATTAAGCACAGCAGATACTATAGTGATTAGCTGAGTCATGTGGTGGTTGGTCATGATGAGACTGACAAGGATAATTTCTAGAATATTGATTGCAAAATCCTGCAACACACAGATTATTATTCAATTATCCAATACATTAAGATACTCCCTGTAAACTGCTGTGCATCTCTGAAATTTGTAAGTGTCAATTATATGTTAAGTAAATAAAACTGAGTGCTTTCACTGCCACAAACTCAAGTGTTAAATAGCCGGGCTTCTCTAGTTAGATAGTTTCACATTTTGGATAAAGCTTGAGCATATGTCAAGGTACAGTAAATTGTTTGTATACCTACACTGTCTATGTATGTTATATAGCTACAGTGTCTAAGATGTTGAATTAATACGTCTGTCTCTTATGAAATACTGCAGATGTATATACTGTACTCTGCATGTATCATGGTGGGTTAGACTATGCTGTGTACAACTCAGTCAGGCCTTCAAGGTCATGCCAGACGACCAACAGGTAGATGACAGTGCAGTATAGTACTCAAAATGTGCTGTATCACTACAGTACTGCTTATCATTCTTACTGGCATCTTTGACACACTGCTTCTGCTCTACATTTCTCACACACACACACAAATTTTATCTTGGTTTTGAGGATACATGTAATGATTTGTGTTGTGTATGGGATGAGTTTGAAGCAAGCTGAACACATTGTTATTTTTAATATACCAGGCAGGGGAGTGAATGTAGTACCTCGGGTCTATATCTTAAAATATCTGTATTGATGATGATAGCTCTGACCTCGACACTTATTTATGTCTATAAACCCCAGACAAAATGCACTTGCTGGCTAAACTGTCTTCCAAGTCTTACGTCAATCTAATTAGAGCTGTGAGAATACTGTAGTTAAATAAACTAAAATTTCTAGACATATTGACGAACAGCCCAAAGCTAACATTCAATGCTCCTCAAACTGAAGCCTTAAAAAAAAAAAAAAAGATACGTACATATGAAGATTATTTCACCTAGAGCTTAGGTTAGATTAGGTCAGGTTAAGGTAAGATAGCATTAGGGTGTTTAATCATCAGGTGAGATAAACTAGGGATTAATCTTCATATGATCCATAACGAAGAGCTAAGCACTGCAAGAAGTGTGCTCCCCCCACCATAATGAATGTTTTCCTTTACCTGTCACCATCCTGAACTGTCCTGCTGTTTCTTGACAAATTACCATGTTTAACCCTTTGTGTACAGGGACCCCTCTGAGCCGAATAAAATCATCTGTTGTTAGCCAAATAAAATATTAAAAGTGGTGTCCCCAGAGTGAAGGGTGTTAAATTAAATGACACAACTAGCTCAGGTAAGCTTTTCCGTCCATCCAAAATACAAAACTTCTTTATGATACTGCAGTGTACAGTGCATCTCTTCCCTCCTCTCAATTAAATCTTCACCTTCCTCAATCTCAACTTAAGTTCCTCAGCTCAGACAAATTGTTGGCACCTTTTTCTTACCACTTTCAATTCTACGGACATTTTTATCTTGTGGAAATTCCATGCAGTACAGTATTGACAAACAGTACTCTTTAAGTGTGAGTGAAACTAGAGCTATATGTGGAAATCATTAGATTCCTACATACTACGTGGGACATGTGTGTGTCAAGGTCAACATTGGTCTTGTCCCCCACGGTGTTGAACAGGAGCGGATCCCACTTATCTATTCTCACCCATTTCACCTGATTAGAATAAAGATCCCAAACCTCACACACTATATACTGTACTGTACCTGTATGCCATATATTGTGCCTGATATTTTATGTTATGTCATGAATGAACTATAGGTGTGCTTGGTGGCTTATCAGTGATATGGTATATTATTTAAAACAGATACATTCAGGGCTTTAGTGTATTTCAAGGATATTTCACAAGTCAATGCTGACTGTTATACCAACAAGTAGACTCAGACTTGGTCTATCCACTCATGAAAAATGCCAAACTATTGTCATTAAATATTGTTAAGACTTCTGTTAGTAAATAGCACTCTTAAGTGACTACTGTACCACATAAATACAATCATTCTACTGGAAATACCTACACTGTGTTCTGTACCATGAGGATATATTACTATTATAATAATTTAATGTAATTCCAAGAACTACATCATGGCATAGGGTAAGTAAAATGGTCGGTTATTGATCAAGTTAAGGTGTTGTCCTACCAACGCCTGAGTCTGATGGCATGTCAATGGTTCAGTGTTATTTAAACACTTCTGATATTGGGACAATTTAATTTAACATCCACAATACAGTATACATGTTACTGGTACCTAATATAAACTACCTTAGAAGTGAATGACTTATAAACAGGAAAAAATATTAATCATATTAACTACAGTATCAAAATACAATTTTGTAATACAAAGGACCAGCAAATTTCTAAGAGTGTATTAAGTGTATACAATAATAAATGTCCCAAAATATAGGTTCACTTATCTGAAATCACACAATTTTGTACACATTTTTTGCAGATGAAACATAACATATGTGAAACACAAGACATGTTGCCACATACCTGTCCTACAACATATCACAACACATAATTTATGTTCTGTACAGTTAAAACAGAAAAATAAAATTCTCTCGAGCTCACAGAACAAAACATATAAAGTTTTCCTGATAGGAATTTAATACACAGTGATATCTACATCATACAGCTTTTGGTAGAAATACCTTAGTACAGTATAGTACAGTACAACAGTGGGAAGATCAACAACACACTGCTGCCACTGCCTTAGGCTCATTTCTCACTAAACCTAAACAGCTCCAGGTAAACTCAGGTACAGTACATCAAAGTTTATCTGATCATGAGTTATTAGCTATTCTTTTTTTTTTAGGAAAGATTGCAAGAGGGCATGTACAAATAAGGAACGATAAAAAACAACACCGACTTAAGTAAAGTTGGAGGTTGTACTTATACAATATGTGCACAGGCAAATGGATGGAGAGGTAGGAGGGTGGTAAATGGGCGTGTGCATGTACAGGGTGGACGAATGTGTGACTACTTACCCATACTGTAGCTAGTAAAAGTATACCCTAATATATATATATATATATATATATATATATATATATATATATATATATATATATATATATATATATATATATATATATATATATATATATATATATATATATATATATATATATATATATATATATATATATATATATATATATATATATATATATATATATATATATATATATATATACATACATATATATACATATATAGTAATCCCCCAGGTTACGGAAGGGATGCGTCCTTGAAAAGTTGACCATAACATCAACTCCATTTCCCCATTGACTTCCATTATATAATAATTGGAGATGCGTTCCCAAAGAAACTTTTTCGGCAAAACATTTTTAAACACACACATTGATTATTTCATGATATAATATGATGATAAATACACAAAACACTTGAATTTAACTCACCACAAAGGATGTTGAGTGCTGCGTGAAGTGAGGTGGTGAAATGGTAATTATTGGGAGACGTAGTAAACACTAATGGGTTTGCAATCTGGCTAAGATTTTTTCCCGCACCAAACCTCCATAATACACCAAGTTTTATATCCAACGTAGCTAATTCCTTTACAGGATCTTTTAGCACCACTGCTCTCACTTGCACTTGATGGCCTCTTTCAATTCATCTTGAATAAGGCTAATACACTGGACAGCCTTGAATAAAATAAATACAAGTATTACATTTAAGAGCTGAGGTTGAAAGATCAAACATGCATGCTGGGAGACATAAACAAACCCAGTCCAGTGGCATGGGTGTGCTGTGTACCCACACTTGGTGGTAGTGAATACCAAGAAATACACACCAAATAAATTATGCCAGTGAATTTTTTCATTCTATATGGAAATTTTTGTGTTGAAAATTTTGAAAATTTACCCAAATTCCCTATGCTCAAATTTACGGGCTGTATCCGAAATTTAGTGGTCACAATTTATAAATTCTGTATGGCCGAGTTTCCGTAACGTGAGGGATACTTGTAATAGAAAATAAAGATTTGAAAAGTTGCTCATCATTTAAATGAGTTGAGTGCACCTTTTAGGATATGGGTATAGTTTCTACTTGTGTACTGTAATTTTAAAGTGAAGTGGTTTCCCAAGTCCAAGCAGCCCATTTGAGGCAAAGTGGACACAGCTCATTGTATACTAAGCCTTTCAGTACATAAGGAGTGTGTGGCCAGCACTGCACTCTACCAACTTCACTTCCCCAACAAAGTTAGGTACCCATTCGCAGCTGGGTGAACTGGGGGTGCCCTGGGCACAAACCAGCGACCCTTAAGACAGAAGCCGAGTGCTGTATCCACTCAGCAACTGCACCCCTTGTGTACTATTCATATAAAAAAAAAAAAAAAATATATATATATATATATATATATATATATATATATATATATATATATATATATATATATATATATATATATATATATATATATATATATATATATATATATATATGGATGTGAACTGGATGTGAATTGGTTATTCAAACGATGATTAGTTAGATTTTACGTTTCCAAAATATCACAAACTTCCATACCACTAGTGTACAAAGAGAATTAAGTGATCCTTAGGGAAAGTATACTGTACATTATTCAAGTGAAAAACAATATAAAATACTCTCGAGAAAGAACTAAAAAGAAAATTGAAATGAAGTGCCTATGTACACACTCTAATCCTAAGATTGTACATGTGAACATTGTAAGACTGAACATGTGAACCCAAGAAAGTCCTGTTTTTTGTGTACAAAATAATCTCCACTGTGAGGGGAAGAGGAGGGGGTGGGATAAATTACATCACTTAACATAAAAGTAATTAACATTATTTAAATTTTGATATTAAATAAAGAAGAATTTATGAGCATAAGTGATCCTCCTGCCAAGCTAACGAGTCACACTTGTGAGACCGCTGACTACTGTGCACACTTCTGGTGGCCTCATGTTGATGCTCAATATGTACTACAACAACTTTCAATCTCAAATGTTTAAAAGCTGTTCTTTTGAAGTGACAACACCCACGGTAAATTCTGCCAGAGTTTAAACATGATTGACATTAATTCATTTCATTATAAAAATATAGCAATACTATATTAAAAAAAAAAGACCCATGGCAATGTAGTTCCTTGTGATCACCTCCATGCCAATATATTAAACAATCTCCTTATAAACAAACTTAGGGGTCCAATAGCCTTCAACCATCAAAATTATACAACAAAATATTGCCTTTTTCAAGAATTGTAACCGAATTTTTCTTCTCCAGCACTAGAACAAAAATAAATAAAAAAATAAAACTGAAAAAATCATTAAATCTGTTCACTACTTCCAGTTAAAACTCCAAGTACCAATGAAAAGTTCATCAATCAGGCTTATAGATAATTAGTTCTCTACCATCCTACTGTACAGTGCCGTGAAGACTGAAACCCACAACAGCTGTGGTCATACTGTTCATACAAGTCAAACTCAATCATGTGGAAGACAAACTTAACCACAATTTAACACAACACATGAACTGAAACATTTACTGTACAGGTGTTGACCGTTATATGATGGAGTTATGGATGTCTAAAAGCCCTCGTACAGTGATCAATTGTACAGGGGTACATCGATCTTAATAACCTAGGGGGAAACTAGGTTCCGTTCCCGAGACCCTGAATAGTTTTCACTCAGAGCAGTCATTTTTCAACTCATTATTTCGGGTAGACAGATGTAATTTTATAGACTTTTTTACTGTTACATGCATACACAATCTTTCATACAGAATGTACAAAAAATAATAATGATTATGAGGTTAAAAACACAGAGAGAATAAACATGTCTTATGAGCACGGGAGTTGTCACAAACCGGGTAGACACTAGACACATGTAACTTTCTTAATTTGTTTTTACTGTTACATGCATAGTGATAAAAAAGTAAAAGAAATAATTAACATAAGGTCAAAAACAAAGGAAATAAAAATTTCATTGTGTGCCAGCCAAAGTTAGCAAGCTGAGAGGGAGGTATGTTATAGCTATTTTTCAACTCGTAATTTCGGGTAGACATACGCAATATTCTTCAAATTTTCTTTTACAGTTACATGCATATGCAATCATTCATACAAAATAGGAAAAAAAAAAAAAAATAATTTAATTATCATGTAAAAAACAAAGGGAATAAACATTTCTTATGATTGCAGGAGTTATAGAGTGGGGAGGGGGAGTGGAGTGGGGTTTCTCAGCTGCTCTCTGTCTCGTGTCCCGTGTGTAGGGAAACTATTGCCAAATGGTAATGCAATAGTTTTCTCTTTTATTTTATTTATTAGTATTATTTTTATTATTCATCATTTTTACTGGTTCAGTATAAGGTATATATTATTTTATGTACTGTACAAAGAATAGCTTCTTCCACATGGGTGATGTGACTGCTCAGCCTGGCAGTCAAGGACCGGCAGAGCCTCACATGTATCCCGCGTGGGTCACACACGTTACGCCATTCTGAGATTGCGTCATCATATGTCAGAATATGGAGCTATTGCAGTGGCAATACAGGAAAAGCATTCAGGTAGTGACCATCACATAGCAGTACAGGGTATTTGGTGTTAATTTCTTAACACTGTAAATCCAATCGATCGTTTATCAATCATATAACAGTCAACATCCGTATTACAGAATAATAAGTTGGATACCATATTACTGAATGTACACAAGTGAACACTTACTAAAAAAAAAATTTGAATTGCATAATGGTCCAATTCTGCCAAAGGAAAATGCTGACGAAAGTATGTACTAATGCTTCACTATCTAATCATAAATAAATAGGATAACATGACACGACTAAAACTTGCTTCAAGTATTGAACATCGTGTACTCGCATCTTTTCCTACAGTATAAAAAGGTCCATCATGTACACTATTATCTGAAGTTGTATTTACAAATGCTTTTGTACAAAAATGAATGATGAATATTAAACTACAGTACTGCACAATACAGTATATACCTGTAAATCCTTTCAAACATTAAATAAATAAGTTTGCTTACAAAATTTGAACGATTCCTACTGAAAATGAACTTTGTCATGTCTTGAGTCCCTCTATCATTACCCAAATGCATTAATAAAAATCATTTTCTCAGCAAGAACTGTGCAGCAAGAGGAAAGTGATCAGAAGGAGAAACTGCGGAAGGAAGGGGAGAAAATCTATCGGCTTCTGGGCCAGACAACAGCCCATATCGAGCCAACAATTTCAGCTTTCCGTCAACTGGTCTGCTAAATTTATTAGAGTAATTACGGGAGTATAGCATATAGTCAACTGTGGTCCAACCATCTTGGCGAGTTGTGGCTTCAGGAGCCATCCCCAGGCGGCTCAATCGGTGACGGTAAACAGAGTTAAAGTTGAAGCCATGAGAGAACCATCCAGATGGCGTAGGACCTTGGTTGGTGGAATTAGCAGATCTATGAGCTGGCAACTCACGGTCTGAATGATACAAATGTATTAATGATTCCTCAAGCTTTCGTTTGTCTGACAGTGAAAAGATGGGACCACGTGCTTGCTCTAAATAGCGACTTTGAGCCAACACTGCATGTTGACAGCGATCTGTGAGACCTAGGGAGCGAGGGAAGAGTTCTGGCCCTAGCAAGGGGCCAATAGTTCCATGCCGGGCAAGAGTCTTACTACCAAGACCCTCATAGTGAAGTCGGCCTTCCTTCAAAAAGTGTATTAAAGCAGAGTGGGGCTCAGCATTAAAATCTCCTGTTAGTATTACAGGACAGTACTGAGATCTACCCCCCTGCTCTCCTGTGTAACTGAGTCTGTCTATTTCTGCTAGAAGCAACACCACTTGAGCCAACTTTACATCATGTCTCCTTGGATTGAACAACAGGTGAGTCGTTGCCACGCACAGTGCAGGTGAATTTGGTTGTGATACTGGCGAGAGTTTTGCTAAGAGGCCAATATTGTCACGATCCAGGACTTCTTTGGCTTCTGGTTGAAGATACTCAACACTACTGTGTTCTATAAGAGCGAATTTGCTCTTTTTGAAAAATATGGCACAGCCATCATCCTTGAGCCCTGTTCGTTTCTTATACAATCCATCATAACCCTGGAAGGTGAGCCATGGCAAATAGTGACTGTGGTAATGAGAAGCTTGAACCTCTTGCAACATGAGCACATCTGGCTCCAGGTCACCTATCTCATGCTGCAGCAGTGCCCATCTGTATGGCCATGAGAGATGTTCCTCCTTACAAGATGAATACAGATACATGTTGCTTGCTAACAGAGTTTGACCCAACACATTGTATGACATTGCAGTAAACATGGTATCACCGACATTCACATTTCTCCCATCCATAACCTCACGTCCCAGACCAGTCAAATCCCACTTTCTTAGCCTTTCTAATTCCTTCCGAAGGTCAAGTACTTCATCGCTAATATCTATTTCTGTGTTAGGCAAGTCTTTGACTTGTAACTTTTGTAGAGATACGAATTCAGAATTGCTGATATCTAAAACTCCTTTTTCATCATCTGATGATTCACTCTTCATGCAGTCTTCTTTGCCAGACTCAATTATATCAATTACTTCCATCTCCAAAGGTCTGCTGCTGGATGCAACTGGAGAATCCTCAATCTCTACAACATCTGGGTCTATCAACTTCACCTTCTGAAATTTTGGAGTGTCTTCATTATTTTTGTTGAGGTCAGATCCCTTATTTCCCTTCAAACTTTCGGATGGGAGTGATATCTCTTCCCGTAGGTGCACTTCTCTAGGTTTGGTCTTGAGTCCCAGTCCTGTGTGACACTTCCTGAACTGAGTGTCAGGCACAAGTGACCTTCCAGGTGACAGTACAGGATCTTGCTTCTTCTCAGATGCTCCCACAGTGCACAATATCGTCACTTCATCTTGTTTGTTCTTTTTTGGTCCTTCATACAAAATATCAATTTCATCATCCCCCGAGAGTGCTAGGAATTTCTTCTTCTTTATATTGATGCAAACTTTAGTTCTTTCTTTAATTTTATGATTTTTGCAATCTTCTTTATCAAAGGGTTTATTTCTTTCAGATTTGGAAGTGGAAGGAACATATATAACATCACTATCACACAGCACCGTCACTTTGTCACTTTCTCGAGTATCACTTATGGAAGAACCTCCTCTTCCTTCATCCTTCACTGGGTCCAATCGATTACTGCTACACTCACTCACAGCAGTATTACTGATTGTACCTTTTTTGCTGCTCTTCTGCCAAAGTGTTTTCTCTGCGAACAACACCTTAGAGGGTCTGGTATCAATAACAAAAAAGTTATTAAAATCATTTTCTTCTTGTGGTGGGCTGGGAGGTAGAGGGATAAAGTCCAAAGGTGTAGATCTGGAGGTGCCTTCTGAGGTCCGAATGCTGCTTTTAACCTTCTTCTGTGGCAACGGACGCAGCGGAGACAGCAGATCTCTGCTTCGCTTAGAATTCATCTCGGATGGTTCATTAACTCCTGCATTCATTGCATGTAACTGTAATCTTACATTATCAAACTTTTTAGTAGACTGTGGTTCTTTCACTGCAACATTCTGAGGCGGAGTTTCTGTTCTCCGAGAGCTACAATGGTCAGCTTCGAGACATGTACCGGGAGTGTGGGCATGTGAGGAGCAACACCTGGTATTGAGGGAGCTGCTGTTTGACAAAGTGTCCGGGATGATCCACAGCAGCTTGTATACACCATCCCTGACCTGCGTGGTGGGTGTGCCAACACCTCCACAAGCTGCACGACTGGCGTTGTACAGCACTCGGGTCGGCACCAAACAATGCATACAGGTGCTGAAAAGGCAAATAACCATTAGCTAATACAGTATCAATCAGTATTTTTCTATGAAATTACAGTAGAGTATAGTACCACTACTATATATAAATATTCTCTCTGCACTTTACTGAACTTGAAAACTACTCCGAATACAGTACAGCATACGGCAAGAGATCGTTTATCTGGACCATAGATGATGAATGTTCACAAAATAAAGATTTGTGAAAATAAATAAGAACTCATATAAAATTATTTGATAATTTCGGACAAGCTCTGACACACTCGCAGTTTTTATTCCACAGTAGCTTGTGTACAAGACAAAAAAAATCTGTAAAGAATGTGCCATTTTTTCCCTTACACTTCCCCATATTTCTATTGTGATTTGTTCCAACCCCATTGGGTAAATATTAACATATGATACTATCTATAATTACAGCTTACAGTAGTGCATATGTTTATTTAGGCTATTATACTTTGATACAGTCTATGTACACTAGGGATAAGTTTGAAACATGTGCACATTTTTATTTGGTGTTAATCTGTGTGTTTGTGTTTACTGAGCAAACATGTTTATAATTATTGTACACAAGTTATTGCAATATAATTGTTTCATGTGACCCCATAATAATTAATTAATATAAACTTGTTGTTTCAAGCTCATTATGCAGTACAGTGCAGTAATAGAAGTGCTACAAGGTATAATAAACCTAACCTAACCTGACTATGGAAGCTAGCCAAGTGTAGGGCAAAATCCCCCTCAGACTAAAAACTCTCCTGGACAAAATCCCTTTAGGATAGAAGCCCAACCAAACCAAACCTAACTTAACCTAATCTTGAGAAAGATTAGTTGAAAAGTGGGGATTTTTTCCCTCCTATGCACTTTAACTGAGGGGGCTTCATCTCCCCCCTACTAGATAAGTTTCCACAGATACCCATGGGCAAGGGGGTGGAAACTAATGACACCTGTTTCCTGTACTCGGCTATTAATAATAAATTAAAGCATATCACCTGAAGTTTAGACACCCAAGTTTATTTCACCTGATTATTAACATAACTAATTAACCCCCCCCCCACCCCAGGTAGCATTAAGGAGTTTGATCATCAGGAGAAATAAGCTGGGTTGTCTAATCTTCAGGTAACCTTTACAATCAACTACGGCTGTATAAAGATTGATAGAAACCTAGATGGGGAGAGGAAAGTTAAGTTTGGGACAATAATAAGGAGTGTCTAAAAATGAATGGTGGGTTGTTATTATTGAATAATGAAACATGGAGTTATACTTCCTGAAGATTATGGATCAGATATAAATACAGGTATATACTATATATAGAAAGGTGGATTTACTGATTACAGCTGCACCAAGCAAGGAGAAAAAGAGATACAGTATTGGGAAAACCTGAACACCTGCACCATTTATCATTTTACCACTCACCAGCTTACTAGCCAACCGGGCAGTTGGTCTATACAAATTTATTACAGGAGCAAACCGGTGACCAGGAAACCTGTGATGCTTGGTAGTGAGGGTCACACTGGATAACACCCTTCTAACATGTGTCCTGATCGAGGCTCGAACCCTTGACATATCGGTGAGAGATACGCTGTTACCACTGTACCACCAACACCCCTTAGGTTTAGTTTGAGAGATAATGATAAGATCTTTAAATGCAATAACTGATAAAGGGGAATTGGGGAGGAAGGAGTTGTAGAAGTATATGGAGAAACAGGAATGACTCCTCCGATTGATCTGTTTTCGCTCACCTATTCAGTAGCTTGTGGCAGTGTTACAAACATCCAACCTCTTCATGAAAAACTGTAGCAGTTACAAACACTAAACTAACCTAACCTAATTGAAGGAGAAAATGGACATAACGAATCATTTCCATACAAAATTATTACCACCTGTACATAGAACATAAAAACACATCAGGAGAAACAATAGTATCTCATGGTTGGGTTGGGCCAGTGTTTTCTATATAAAAGTCCAATAATCAATTTTTCTTGCATAAGTTAAGGTGGGATAACATTGTACAGTACAGTATTGTACTGATAATCTCGACACACAAATTACCTTTTTTTCTAATAACTTCCACTATTTTCAACACTCACAACTCATTGTCAAAGCTTCTTCTGGAAAACGAATTAATACACTGTCACGAACCTAAAACTTTTCCAGGTAAAGGAGGAGACGTTTAGCACCAGAAGGACTTTATGGAATTGCACCAAATTTTCATATATTGTTTGGATGATACTGAGTAATGAAATCGAAGGGACAACATTGTAGTATTTTTTTGCCTTTTTTGCCTATCCTTCTATCATAAATTACTTGTTAGTGGGGAGGGCATGAAAGAAGAGGGAAACAACAGGGTAAAAACACTGTGAACACTCATCATATGGTGGTAATACAGTATCACGCTCATGTCCTCTGTAGACGAAGAAATAAAGGTCATCCGGGGAATCTTAAGAGGGGTCTGGGGGGGGGGGGAAGCCCTTGGTTAGGTTAGATAGAGTTCCTGGGTTCTGTGGCAAAGTTAGGTTGGTTAGGTTACATTAGGCTGATTAGGTTGGGTTACATCTAAATACAGGAATAACCAAAACTAAAATTTTACCGAAATAAAGATATTTACCATAATTATGACACCGTTGGATCTCCCGTGGTGTCCATGTTTTGGTTCACATAATCTGCTATACGGGAACATCCATGGTCTTTGTTTACATAGAAACGAACGACAATCTTAAGAACATAAGAATGGAGGAAACTGCAGTGGGCCTATTGACCCGTACAGGGCAGTCCCATTTACACCCAACCCCTATTGCTCATATATCCATCCAACCTGTGTTTGAAGCTATCCAGCGTATTCGAGTTAATGATGATATTTGGTAACTTGTTTCACTCGTCCACTACTCTTATTTTATATTGGATTGAATTCATTAATTTTTTTTTCTAGAGATGTTGTTTGTATGAGAGTAAGAAAACGAAACAACAAAGCACAGGTTAGGAACTTAGGATAGTTTAGGTAAGATAAGGTCAGGTTTTGTACATTCTCACTTACATTTTCCTGTTCAGTATCATGCAAATAGTATCTCCTGAAATTTTGGTTAATTCCATTAGTTATTTCTGGTGCTTACGGTCTCTTCCACGTTTACCCTTTTCGACAGGTTATAATTTACCTCATCTTGCGAGAGTAAGAATAAACTGTGTTGAAGGTAAGTATCCAGTTTGCTTGAAATGAGTTACTGCTGTGACACTGCCGACAGGTACTGCAGGCCCTGACCACACGTTGATCCTGGGAGCTTCCTCGCCTCTTGTCACTTGCCAGTCGGTTCTACCTTGATACTGAGACTTCTAGTGGTGTGCACCCCTTGCACGCCCTGCTCCCCCTCACCCCCACAACCCCTCTTGGCTGGGTCTCTGATGTTCACGAGCCCATCCGCTGATAAATGGCGTCCAGCTCCGCTAACACTACAACTCTCTACTCAGCTCGCTATTTACACTCACCCCCTCCCTCTCACACACACCCTTTTCTCTATCTTACCGTCCTCCTGAATTCTAGGAAGAACGCTGAACTCGGACAACACAACTGGTAGGAGTGAAGTAAGACCTCTAGCAGGAACGATTCACTTTCTCCGTCATAGGACAATGTTTACCCTCAGCAACTACCGAGGGAACCGCCAGACGCCTCACACCATCATACGCTACCACTAGTATTATTGTATCTTCCATTATATCGTTCACCTCTCAAAAAAAAAAAGACACGGATAGATGGTTGATAGATTGACAGACCTTTTATTCTCTCAAATCATTAAACATGTTAATATTGGTTCATTATTCATATAGACAGAACAGGCATACAAACAATGGTAAACAGGAGTTGACCCACCCAAAGATAGTCCAAGAAAAACGTTGAAAAAGAAAAAAACGACTTTATACCAAACGTAAAGAAAATTTAAATGTTGAATACGTGAGAAAAAGAGATTTTTAAAAACAATACATAAATTCACAAAGCGCAAAGGAGACGAAATAATATTACTCAATGGTGTGAAACCTTGGTTGTGTTGATGATGAGGGAGAAAAGTCCCAGCCTGACGAAGATACTTTATTAACTGAAACTAAACGCCTCATAAGGTTTTTTAAAATTGCAGTTCTATCTCTTCATTTTCAATTATTGACGAAGTGCTTTTACCTACCAAGATTACGTGTTTAAACTACCTTGAACCGTAGTAATGCATAACATTAGAATAGCACCAACAACACAAGAGGGTGGACCTCATAGACACTCGCCACCAACACAAGATGACATAACTTCAAGTTCGCTAGGTTGTCATGCAAGATGAATACAAGGAAATCTTCACACAGAGGGTGGTAGACCTATGAAACACTCCACTACCTCAACCTGTGGAGGCGAGAACAGAACTGGTACTATTCTTCAAAATAGCCCTGGACAAACACTCAAGAACAGAGGTGTAGAAGGTACCGACTTGTGGTCTAGTCTCTGTCTTTGGTGACGGTGAACAAAAAGCCAAGCATGTGTTTCATCATCCACAGTATTATTTTTTTTTTATCTAATTTACTTCTAGTTAGGTTGGGTTAACGTTAAGGTAGCTAGTACTCAATGTGAAATTAACGGAGTGGGTTAATCTTTATGTGATCCGATTATTTTTTATCAAACTTCAAAGCCGGAACCAGTATCAACTCTTCATTCATTTGTCTGTTTGTTAAATAGGAAACAAATAGCTTCATCGTTTTCTCTCTTAGGTCCCTCATTTACTCTGCTCCTTCCCTCTCCCCCCCTTCCCCGCCTCACACAACGATGGGAGCTGCCAAGAGCCTAACTTCACGTGTCTCACCCCACACGGTCCACCACCCCCCCACCTCCCGTACACGTGAGATGACTGTGTTGTGGGAGGAAGTTGCTGGACTTGCCCCAACCGGTTCCTATAGAATAGGTAGTTAAGTAGATAAATAGATAGATAGATAAATAAATAGGTAGGTAGATAGATATATAAGTACAGTAGGTAGGAAAGTAGGTCTAGGTAGATAAATAGACATGTAAATAGAAGTCACGTGACTTGATCCATGATAGATCGATAGATATAGGTAGATTATATAGATACCGAGTGAGAAATATTGAGTATTATTGACAAACAATAACACGGTCTCCTTTCAGTAAGATAGGTATCCTTTGTGTGGGGCAATTTCTGAAATCTGGAGAAAAAATATCTAAATGGAAAATCTAACCTAAATTAATTTAACAAAATCTCGGGTAATTTTCTTGAGCTTGAGTCAGGCTTGCTTACTGAACTCCTCACTACAGGGACGCTGCTTTTAATATTTTATTTGGCTAACGCAAGAGGATTTATTCAACATAGAGACCACCCGACACATGGGGGTTCAAACTTTATACCTCGGCTCCTTCACTCGTCAGTTTGGTGACCCCTTTGTGTTGTTGGCAGGTTAGACACAGGTCCTCCTCTACTATGCCTGGACTTGTGCCAATGGTTGTCTAACCTGCACCTAAAAGAGCTTGTGGGGTATGGGATGTTTGGTTCTCACTCAGGATGGGATGGAGAAAGGAAACTCACAATGTGCTCTCTGTGTACATGTTGTATTGGATGTACAATGCAGCTTGGTGCTGGCAAGGCAGCATGGTTACAAGCGTGATGTAGAGAGAGCTGGTTGGTGAGGGTGTTCAGAGGAGGACCAGCCTGTGGGTGGCCATGCTCGCCGGCGTGAGCGAGGACCGCCAGGCAGGCGGAGGAGGAGGTGTGTTGCTGGCTGGTTGGTGTAGGTAGAAAGAGAGAGATGATGATGATGATTATATGGAGAGAAGAGAGCAGTGGCTCTGAGAGTGGGAGAAGGGTATAGTACAAGGTAAAGTTTAGAAGTGGGAAGTAGAGGAGAAGGTTAACAGCAGGTGGGCTATCCACCTTGCGGAGAAGAGAGAGAGAGATCACCACGAGGTCAGGTCTTAAATAGCGGGGGTAGGCGTGGCTTAGTAGTTGACCTCCGTGATGTATGGCGGCGCTGGTTGACCTAGACCACGAGGCATACACAGAGGAATTCGTGGGGTCGGCTATGCAGCGACAAACAGCGTTTGTAGGGGAGAAATCCACTACAAGCTCATACTTGGTGCTGCTACATTGTACAGTATGAGTAGAGGTGTTTACAATGTGTGCATGACTTAAAAACTAGTCATGCCAACATCTGAAAATTCATATAATATTCGGAATTTAAACCTAGCAATATATATATATATATATATATATATATATATATATATATATATATATATATATATATATATATATATATATATATATATATATATATCATGTAGATCCACAATGAAAACGTGGATAAGATAAATCTTGATAAAATCACACGGGAAAAGGGAAACAACGGAGCACCTTAGCTTTCGTCTTTATTTAAGACATCTTCAGAGGCAACTGGATTACATGGACAGAGAGAGGCTTAAATATACAGGGTGACCTTAAAAACATGAGATCAGGTCATAATGATGTCATCCACTAATCCCCACACCAACAAACACGTAGAGGAGCTTAAGAGAAGGGGGGTGACGTGACTAGTCAGGTCAGGTCAAAAATAAGGGACCCACTAAATCAGGGGTTCTCAACCAGGGGGGAATTTCCCCCCTCAGGTTTTCAGGGGGGGGGAAACTGATACTAATATGGAAAAAATAAAGGATTTTCAGTATTATATGCATATTATTTGGAATGCACTTTTTGAGGCAGACAATCTTGGAAAGGAGGGGGGAATGACATTCTGACATATGGTGAAAGGGGTGCATGGGGCAAACAAGGTTGAGAACCACTGCACTAAATAACTATCATACATCTAGATCAAAGGTTTTCAAAGCATTTTTAACCTTGGGCCACTGACAAATAAATTTATGCAACATATTATCAGTTTTGAACTGACCAACACTAAGGTTTATTGATTTTAATTCCTTAATCAAACTAGCTTCAACCAGAAGTCTTTCTGTGACACAAGATGATTTAAATATTTCTAAGCTTTTTTCCCAAGCAATGGGATGATTATTATTCCTAACATGAACGAACAAAGCACTGCTTTCAGATGCTGTTCTGATATTATACTTATGTTGTTTGATTCTGAGCTGCAGTGTTTTTCCTGTCTGTCCTACATAATTACAATTACATTTGCTACATGGAATACAATAAACACTTCCATTTACATTCAAACTTGGGCTATTTCTTATTAACATATTGGTAATGGTTGAGTCATACTTGAAAACAACATTGATATTTAGAAGCTTGAGGGACCGAACTAACGGGACAAATTCATTACGATAGGGCAGAGTCAAAATATTCTTAAGTGTAGGAATTTGCCTGGCTTGAGAGGAATGAAAAGATTTTTTAGCCCTTTTAAAACAACGATCAACAAACACAGAAGGGTACCCGAGTTTCTGTGCAATGGAACGAA